GGTAGGGGAAAGGTGCAGGTGTGCTCCCAGGAGGGGAGAGCACCAAGATTTTAGAAAGAACTTGAAAGGAAGAGCTGAACATCCTGTTCATTAGGGGCACAGCTGAACAAAGGCTTGGGAGGGAGAGGCAAGAGATGGGATGGGTCTGAGAAAGCAAATCCACTCAACTTTAACAAGGGCTATGTGTTGAAGTTAATGCAAAGTAAAGGTGTTGGTGGACAATAAACTGCAGGTGAAGTCAAGAGAATATGATGAAAGCCATTGACCCTCTCCCCCCAAAACACAAACATATATATATATATATATATATATATATATATATATATACACATGTATCTATCTGCCTGTAATTTGGGGCTTCTGTCACCTCCTTGGAGCTCATCTATGACTCCATTTGTCCCAGCCTTGTGCCTAATGATAATAATAATGATAATGGTTAAAGGCCTTCAAGTAGCAAGCCAGAACTGAACTAGATAGTTACATAAACATCTTCAGTGTGAGTGTAATTTGGGGCTGTAGGCAAATTAATCTATCATTGGGGTGGAAATTAATGAGAAAGTAAGGAGCCACTGAGGTTGTAAGTCCAAAAAGGGTTACACTGTGAAAAATATCCACTTTCAGGGGAGAGGTTGAGAGACTGGGTGAAAGAAGCGATGTGATTAAGAAGTACATATTGGGCCCTGGCCGGTGTGACTCAGTTGGTTGGGCATCGTCCTGGGCACCAAGGGGTGTGCGATTTGATTCTTGTTAAGGGCACATGTCTGGGTTGCAGGCTCAATGCCTCGTAGGGGGCATACAGGAGGCAGCCGATCAATGTTTCTCTCTCATATCTGTGTCTTTCCCTTCCTCTCTTTCTAAAAATCAACCAAAAAATCTTTGAAAAAAAGTACAAATTGCTAGTTATAAAATAGTCATGAGGATATAAAGTACAGAATGGGAAATGTAGTTAATGATATTGCAATAACTATGTATGGTACCAGGTGAATGCTGGAAATATCAAGTGGAACACTTGTAAAATATATGATTGTCTAACCACTATGCTGTACACCTGAAACCAGTACAAAATAATATTGAAAGTAAACTGTAATTGAAAAGTTAAAATAGCCCGGCTGGCGTGGCTCAGCCGTTGAGGNTGTACACCTGAAACCAGTACAAAATAATATTGAAAGTAAACTGTAATTGAAAAGTTAAAATAGCCCGGCTGGCGTGGCTCAGCTGTTGAGGATCCAGGAGATCAAGGTTCGATTCGTGGTCAGGGCACATGCCCAGGTTTCGGGCTCGATCCCCAGTGGGGGGCATGCAGTGACCCTTATTGATGTGTCTATCTCTCTCTCTCTCCCTCTCCCCTCCTCTCTCTGAAATCAATAAAGATTTTTTTTTTAAAAAAAAGAAAAAAATAACACACAAACTACTTTCACCTGAGTCTTACTCCTTACCACCTCTTCCATGACGATTTCAGATCTTGAAGATACTCTCAGGGAAGATAGTGGTGGGACATGCCATCCACAATGACTTCAAAGCCCTTCAGTACTTTCACCCCAAGTCTCTTACTCGCGACACCTCCCATATCCCTCCTCTCAACCGGAAGGCTGACTGCCCAGAGAATGCTACCGTCTCTCTGAAGCATCTCACCAAGAAGCTGCTAAACCGGGACATCCAGGTAGCATCTCCCCAAATGCTGCCAGGCCCCTTGCTTGGACACTGTGGAGGCCTTTCTAGCTGCCTCTACAGACTCTGACCCCAGAATTCCTTTGGTTGTAGAGAGATCCAGGCAGCTGCTCTTATGGGAAGAACTTTGGGCTAAGGGACTAATTGGTCTCTCCATGTGTTCATAAGGATAATTCCTATTCTCTACCTTACAGTGTTCCATAGGGTACTTGGGAAAGGGAAAAAAGCCTTTAAGTGGGTGTAAAACCCTGAAAAAAGAGGAAAGCAGATAGTGGTAGTGGTCTAAAGACCTCAGAGCAGATGCAAGGACCTCTCATGTATTTCACATGTTTGACATTCAAGAAAGGGTGACCTGCCAGGTAAGAGGGTATAGACACATGTTATGTAGAGAGAGTTAAGGAACTGAGGAAAATGGAAGACTCAGAAGGCCTGGCTATGATAGAGATATCCTGTCTCTATGGAATGTAGAAAAATGTGGAATATACATGTTGCCACAGAAGAGATTGAGGCAGACGTTAGCAAAGATTTCCTACGAGCTGAACCCTTGAAATAAGGGGTAGGGCCCCGCCATAGTTCTACCTTTGCAGCCCACTAACTCTGCAGAAACAACTGCTTATATAGGGGTTGGGGGGAGCCAGCAGGGAAGGAGGGGAAAAAACAAAAAACATTCTTATAGCCTCATGCTTTTCTCTTCCTCCCTCGTTCAGGCTGGGAAAAGTGGACATTCCTCTGTGGAAGATGCTCAGGCCACCATGGAGCTGTACAAGTTGGTTGAAGTTGAGTGGGAACAGCATCTGGCCCAGAATCCCCCAAAAGATTAGCAGCAGTGGGGACACCGGTGATGAAAGGAAGCAGAGGCAGCACCGCACCCAGGAGAAACAGCAGAGAACCAATGGATGGCGCTACCAGCTCCACACCTTTAGAAGCTTGAGTTGTTGGGGAGAGAGAGGCTCTACCCCAGACTTTTAATTTCCATTGAAATCTCACCTCAGGTGTTGTGTTCTGTGTCTGATTAAGTATCCCATGGAAGGAGGAAGTCTGTATGTCAGCACCCAGCCCTATACTGTTTACCTCTTAAATGGTGCTAACCACAGGTCCCAGGGTGCTTTGTTCTAGTCCAGCTTTTTGACTTTCAAGGGGCAGGGCATAGTGGGAAATTTAGTTTCCCAAACTGCCTTATAATTAGGGTGGTTGTATGTCCCACTGTATGCCTTTTGTTCTCAAGTGATTAACAGCACTCTTTTTCACTCAGAAGTATCCTGGTTGGATGATAAATTGTATGATCACATTCCATATCAGAGTCTATATCTAGTCTGTCAGGATAGCACCTGTTTTTCTCACGGTGACTTTGAGAGGAGCCATCCCTGGTGAGGCTTAGTTCTTAGGGTTACAAGGCAGTAGAGGTAAGAGAATGGAACTTGGAAGTCAACTTCTATGACTTAGGAAAGCAATCTCTTTCCTAAAGCATTAGAGGATTAATTTAACTTCGATCCCACTTGGTAGGTTAAAAAAGAATTTAAAGTGTTTTAATGGGTTTTTAGTTTTTTATTTTGCTAAACCAAGCCTCTAAAATAGACTCAAATTATTCCCTTGGTAAATTTTTTTCCTTGATAAATTTTAATAATGAAGAAACAAATGTGTGATGTTTGTTTGTTTGTTTTAGAGAGAGGAAGGGAGAGAGACAGAAACATCAATCTGTTTTCTACTGTACGAGCCCCAACTAGGGATTGAACCCTCCACCTTGGCATGTGCCCTTACCAGGAATCAAACACTTTTGGTGTACAGGATGATGCTCCAGTCAACTGAGCCACACCAGCCAGGGTGTGTGGTGTTTTCTTTTTAAATTTCACATTAAATTGTTTTGTCACAGGTGTTACAGAGCTATAATTCTGTAAGCAGGTTCCAGAGTCTCTGGATGGCACTGATTGGGCCCTTGTCTGCTGGAAGTCATCAGGAAGCACTGACCAAGCCTTTTTGTGTAGCCCACGTGCTCTGGTACCTTGTCCTCGCCCCTACCGCATAGCAAGGACCACACCTCAAATCACACCCCAAGCCATTAGAGTACCTTTACATGGAGTGCATGTGATCAGGAGAGTGACTTGGAGAGTGGGCACATGGGAGGGATGGGGCAAGAAAGGGTGCTTCGTGATGCCAGCCTGGTTGCTGCTGCTAGCTCTTCTTGGTGCACACCCTCATTTTGGGAAGGTGAGTTACAGGTCTAACCTTGTGTCTGGGATCACTGTCTTGAGAGAATGCAAACTCCATATATATACCAGGACTTGTGCCCTCTTGAGTGGCTGGTTTGGCTCCAGGGGGCCAGTCACAGTCATGGCTGCTTATAGCAAGGAATTTTCTGCAGCCACACCAGACCTGACATGGTCTTGTCACGTCCTGTGCTGCAGGATCTGCTTACACAGGTAGCTATTGAGCTGTGAGCAAGTTGGTTCCTGCTGAGCCCAACATGAAATGTCCATGACACCTCACAAAGAGGTGCCAGGTGCCCTACACACTAGGAAGGCCACACCCCACCTGGGCATACATATGAAAGCACATTACATTCTGCTTACACACACGTTACATTATGATCAGTAAACTAGGAAATTCTCATTTGAGTTTAGTTTTTAGGGTACCTGTTGACTGAAATAAACCTGGCTTTGTGTGTGTTTTGGTAAAGTAGCAACTGGCTTTTATGCTTCATCCCCTCACCACCATGTTCTGAAGGGCCCCTGGTTGCAGTCTATCTTTGGAAAGAGCTCAGTCTTACTTTGCTCACCAGGAAGAACCTGTGGGACTAAAGGACCTTGCATCTGTTTCCTCACTGTTTTCTGTCATCACACTTTCTGGTCAGAGCCCAGCTTGCCCTGCAAGGATGCCTGGGGATCCCCTGTTGTTATTTCCTTTTATCTGCCCCTCTGTCCCCAGGATCCTGGCTTCATCAACTGATAAGAGCCCCATTGCAGGTTGCTGCCTGAATCCCTATGGTCCAGCAAGTCCTGCTTGGCTTGCTAGACCATATGCATGATAAAACACAAGCTCTTGTAATAATATTCTCTTTGTGGCACAATGTTTTCTAATGGCTAAGAGACCCCCTACTGCAGGTGAGCACTGGAAAGGGCAAAGCATGAGAACTACATCTGCCAAACAAACTTGATAGCCTAAAACTTCACTTAACCAAGCGGTTCTCAAAAGAAGAAGGGGGTCCTGGCCGGTGTGTCTCAGTGGTTAGAGCATCAGCCTGTGCACTGAAGGGTCTTGGGTTCAATTTCCAGTCAAGAGCACCTACCTGGGTTGCGGGTTTGATCCCCAGCTTTGGTCTAGACACATGCGGAAAGCAACCAATCGATGTCTCTCTCCTGGATGTTTTGCCCCCCTTCCCACTCTCTCCAAAAATCAAAGGAAAAAAATATCCTCTGATGAGGATTAACAAAAAAAAGGAAAGAGGTGTGTATTTTGAAATTTCAGCCCTGGCCAGGTAGCTCACTTGGTTAAAGCATCCTCCTGATATACCAAGGTTGTGGGTTCGATCCTTAATCGGCACATACAGAAATCAACCAGTGAATGCATGAATGGATGGGACAACAAATCAATGTTTCTCTCCCTCTCTCTCTCAAATCAATTTTTAAAAAATATTTCAGATGACAGCACTGCCCCTCCCTCTACATTCAAGAACCACTGATCTAGTGAAGGCTCCAAGGAAGAATCATTTAATTCCTAGTTTAACAGATGATTACAGCTAACAATAGGAAAGATCAACAGTACTGTAATTATGAACTTTCCCCAAGGCACATTAGCCCAAGTCCAAGTTTGGAGAGGAATACTCATGTAGGCAGTGTGCCACGTACATCTATGAAAACCCCATATCTTAAGTCTGTATTGTTCACAAAGCACTTTCACTTACCTATAGTGTAGAGCAAGTCCACCAAACCACTTTTGTCATAAGAGACTTACGAACATGTAGAGAACATGAGTTTGTTTGAGCCAAACTGACTACAAATTTCAAGAAGCAAAATCTCAATAAATTGAGAAAATGCTCCTGAGAATGGCAGTTTTACAGCTTATTTTATACATTAAAATCAAAAGAGGAGACATAAGTGGGGGATGGTTTACATGAAATTCTTTGGTGGAGATTAGGGAGGTGGGAGAAAGCAAAGGAGGGCATCTCAGATTGTATAAAGAGTAAAACTGAGACAAACTTTTATATTGGTGGGTATGGGTTAGTTAACATAGCACATGGAGTTGGTATGC